ACACACACACACACACACACACACACACACACACACACACACACACACGGTAGCTCCACCTCTGGGAGGAGGGATGGGCTCCTAGGAGGAGCTCAATTCTGGTGGAGTGAGTGACGCTGAGTCAGGAATAAGCTCGTGGCACCAGGCTCCCAGTGGCCGGAACATATGCTCAAACTAACCCTTTTACCTTGGCCTGAAGAGAGGAGGAGAGAGAAGCCCAGATCAGCCTTCTGGGCTTGCCCTGACGACTTGCTGACCTGGACTCCAAGGCCAGCCACGGTCTCCGATGCCACCCTGTGGTGATGCTGGGAACCACCTCCCCTAGCCATGCCTTGGGACCCCTTTGGCCTCTGGCATGGCTTCACCCACCTTCCCAGGCAGAACAGTACTCTAGCCAGACCCACTAGCAAAGGAAATTGCCCATCCAGCCTTCTCTTCCTCCCACCTGCTTCCTTTCACCTCCTTCCACCTTTCCTGCCTTCTTGTCTCCACTCTGTCCTCCGTGTGCATGCATTTGTACACACGCGCTCATCACACAGTGACCAGGCTGTGAGCACCTACATTGCTCTCCTGTGTCTACTTGTGTATGGTCTCTTTGCTGGGTGCACATAGGCCTTCACTCTCCCTCTCTGCCCTGCCTGCTCTGTGCCTGTACCCCACAATGCTGGCTGTCTTCTGCTGGCAGCATCCCTGGCCCCACCTTGCCCTGCAGGGCCAGACCACGGCCAAGAACCACAGCCCTCACTTCTTGGCACCTGATTGGCACTCACAGGGCACCTGCTGGGCCAGTACTTGGGAACCCATTCTTCTCCCTGTGCCCAGGGGACAGGCAAAATCAAGTGTGGAGCACTCAGCCTCCTCCAGGTTTGAACTGAGTCTAGGAAGCCAGGAACTAAAGTCAGTTGTTGGGGCACAGTGCCCGCCACGTGTTGAGCAGACGGACGGTGGTGACTTCACATGCAGGAGCACCAACTCTGCATCATTGGCTGTGTGGCCTTGGGCAAGTTACTTAACCTCTCTAAACCTCAATTCCTCATTAAATGAAGTTGGTGGCATACCTACCTCCAAGGGTGCTGGGAGGATTCGTGAGCTGCAGTGCTGCGCAGGGCATGGCATTGGGGCAGCACTGGCGCATGTCCTTCCTGGACCCCTAGTAGGCTGAACCTGGCTGGCACCACATCCAAGGAGAAAGTTGGGGTAGAAGATTGTCATTCTTCACTTCTCTCTTCCTGCCTGTCTCTCCCTCCAACTACCAATCCTGCAGTTCGGTGGGGTTCCTGGAGGGGTGGGGTACCCAGGGTCTCAGGTATGAAGCTGTTCAGACCTGGGGTGCGTGCGCATAGCCTGTCTTCACGCCACCTGCCCCCTTCCTGGCCTTTCCCTCCCCTGCCTCCCTGCCGCCTGCCCCAGAAACAGACACTGACTCTGTCCCCCTCCACCTCTTTTCCTCATCCAGAATTCCCCTACACCCCATCTCCTCCCGAATACGGGCGGCGCGCCGGGCCTGTGCCCACAGCCATCATTGGGGGCGTGGCGGGGAGCATCCTGCTGGTGCTGATTGTGGTCGGCGGGATCGTGGTCGCCCTGCGCAGGCGCCGCCACACCTTCAAAGGCGACTACAGCACCAAGAAGCACGTGTACGGCAACGGCTACAGTAAGGCGGGCATCCCCCAACACCACCCACCCATGGCCCAGAACCTGCAGTACCCCGATGACTCGGATGACGAGAAGAAGGCCGGCCCGCTGGGGGGAAGCAGCTATGAGGAAGAAGAGGAGGAGGAGGGCGGTGGTGGGGGCGAGCACAAGGTGGGCGGCCCCCACCTGAAATACGACGAGGACGCCAAACGGCCCTACTTCACTGTGGATGAGGCAGAGGCCCGTCAGGACGGCTATGGTGACCGGACTCTGGGCTACCAGTACGACCCTGAGCAGCTGGACTTGGCTGAGAACATGGTTTCTCAGAACGACGGGTCTTTCATTTCCAAGAAGGAGTGGTACGTGTAGCCCACTCTCCAGAGCCTCTTGTCTGCACCCACTTCTCCCCAGCCCCCACCCGCACGCCCCCTGCCCGCCCCCCACAGCCCGCTCCTCAAGAGCTCAACTGACTTACCAAGCTGCCCAGAGCCAGCCCCAAACTCCTGGGGAGCCAGGGGAGCCCAGGGCAGACACGACTTGGCTTTGTTTTTTATCTCCTCCCCCTTCCCGACCCTTCCCTATGGTGTTGTGTTCACCTGTGGCTTTGGTGTTGCTGTACCTTTCCTTTACTGCCCCCACCCGCCTGCCCTCTGTGCAGGGAGCCCTGTTCTCGTCTTGTGTTCCTGGGCGTCCCTCCAAGGTTTGGGGAGCCCGCCCTCCCCGCCCCCCAACACTGGAATTTGTGTTCTCTTCATTGGAGGTGGAAGGCAAAAGGGGCTCCAGGAGGAAAACCCCCACCCCACCCCCAGATGCTGCTCCTCCTTTCCCAGGGAGAGGGAACCAGCCTGCACCACACACTGTCGGAGCCGGGGTTGGACCCCTGGTCTAGAAAGCGATTGTTCCCCAGAGGTAGGGGTGGGGGTGTGGCTTCTCCAGAGCACCGAGGGGAGTCTTATTTGCTAAGTGAATCAAGTTGAGGTCCCCACTTGGGACCTTGGGCAGTGTGTTTGCTGGTGAGGTTGAGTTTACATTTTTTTCTTCATTGGCCTACAGAGAGTTAGATGAGTTAGTTGGCCCAGCTCTGGTGTGTCCCTCGTCTTTCACCCCTCCCACCTGCCCCCACACATAGTGGGACTGCAGGGTGGGTTCTGCCTGCACTTCCTGTCTGCCTCCACCACACACACACACACACACATACAGACATGTACACCCCACTGGTGGCCGCCCTGCCCTTCCCTGGGGTCACATGCCTTACCTAGGCTGTCACTGCCCAAGGCTCATCCTCTCTGCACCACCTCTTCTCCCTTCTCAGCTGAGAATGGGGGCAGCCGTTAGAAGCTTTTGGGGCAGCTGAGATTAGGCCCCCTGGTACCTCTGCCCTAGGATCTCAGATCTGGCCCCAAACTGCCTCTCACGGCATAGAAGTTTCTCGAATTTCTCCCTTGTCTATCAAGTGCTAGAACTCTTGATTCTCCTGGGGAAGAGGGGAGTCAGGGTTGGGACTCCCAAAAGTCAAGGACCTCCAGGAGATGGAGATGAAGTGTCACGGAGAGGGGAGCCACGGGGGAGAACCTCTCTGGCAGCCTGCGGACATAGTCTGATAGGCTCTGATGATAACAGACTGACACCTCTCACACGCAGGCCAATGTAGAAGATGTTATGGGCTTACCTGAAAGTGCAAGGGGCGGGGGAAGCCAGGGATCCTGAGTCAGAACCTTCTACTCACCCACAGTCTATTCTCTGCTCAGATGTCCCTGGTCCCCATTCTGGGATGAAGGGGAAGACCTTGGAGAAGCCCTCCCTTTGAATGCAGATTCCCCTCCTTGGATGGGACTCTAGGTGCCCTGTCAGTCACGCACGACTCGGGCTTCCCATCAATGGAGGAAGCCTCTCTCCTAGCCCTCTCTGTACCCCCAGCTCCAAGTGCCTCAATTCCTCCATCTGCCCAGGTCCCCCCCGCCAGCACTCTATACAGGCATACTAGTGGGGAAGACCCCTGGGATGGGAGGGGCAGGCTCCAAGGACTCTATTGTGCCTGCCCACTAGGATTCCAGTTAGCTAAGAGTGTCAAGGGCTCTGTGGGATGGCAAGTGTTGGGGCGGAGGGAGGCAGAACACTTTGTGCCCCACGGGCACTGTCCTGCCCTACCATAGGCTTCCCAAGGGAGCTGCCCAGCCCCCCACCCTACTCCTTCCTCCCTGGTGCTGCTACTGGAACCCCCAGCCAGCTCTGTCTCTGCCCTGGCAACCCTGGGCCCACCTGCTGGGCCACCCTTGCCCAGCTCCCATTGCCCTAGCCCCAACCAGGCCACCCAGTAGCCATGTAGCAGAAGTCTGAAGCCATGCCAGCCCTGGGGTGGCTCTCCCCTCTTGGCATTGGGAGTACTGGATAGATTAGAGTTGGGGGAGAAAATTCTGGGGTCTTTCTAGCCACAGGGCAGAGAAAAGTGGGGGAGCTGGGTCCAGAGAGCCCCCTGGGCTGCTTCTCCCAACAGTATTAGTGCCCCCCCCCCCACCCAGGGCAGTGGACCCTTCCCATGTCACATCACTGCTCCATACCACCTCATGTCACCTCCTCTGGCCCTTGTGCTTGGTCCCCTTGCCACCAGGTGGGAGGCAATCCCAGGGGCCTGCCTGAAAGAGGCACTCCCCATCCCCTTGAAACCAAGAAACTAAAAGGACTCCTGTGTCTCCCCTTCTTTACCCTGCACTGTCACCCTACTCCTTATTATATAATGGACTTAGGAGGCCTCCGGGCCCAGCCAAAGCACTGAGTCCCCCTTAAGTACCTCCACACCCTTCCCCCAAGCAAAGCACAAATTGTGGGGCCCACACAGAACAGGCCATGCTGGTACCTCCTGCCTCCTCAGGAGCCCAGCAGCAGCATGCCCACTACAGACAGCTGCTACCCTGAAGGGGGGCATGGGGCAGGGTTTGCACTAGAGAGATGGGGCTTTCTGTGCCCCAAGTTCATAGGAGGATGGGCATTGCTGCTGGGCCCACAGACACAGCCAGAGGCCTAGCCAGGGCAAAGGGGAAGCCTGGCCTGGCAGAGAGATGATGCGTTGCTTCTCCTCCATGCCCTCAGCATGAGCTGAGCTTCTGCCTCTGCTGGAAATGAGATGAACTTGGTATTAGTTGTGCCTCCTGTTGCCCTCCCTGTCCCTACCCTCCTCAGCCCACATCCTGACAGATTTTGATACTATTCTAAAGTATAATGGGACCATCTGAGTCCCCTTTTTCCAGAAGGATCTGGAAAGTGGCGGCATGGAGTCCATGCACACAAACCTGCAGAGGCAGCCTCTCAGGCACAGCTCTGCACGTAGTGGGCACACACTGAGACAGACTCAAGCACAGTCACCCCGCACAAGCCCGGCACATGCAGATGGAGCACAGCCTGCACGGACACACATCCACGCAGAGGGGCGGGCTTGATCCTGCTGAAAGCCCATGAGGAGAACTTGTAATGCCCCAGTACTCGGACCACTTCCTTGGGGCATGCACCCCCTCTGCCAACCACCCACCACGTGCCCAAGTCCCTTGTGCAATAATTCTTCTGCCATCCTCAAAGCAGAGGAATCGGGAATTGTGTTAGGAATAGGCAAGGACCAGGTGGATGTAGGTAGCTCACTTGAGCTAACTGGGTAGAGGTGCCCCCTCTCTTGGGTGCAGGCGAGGGGTCGCAGACCTCTGGGGGTCCAAACAGAGACCTCCAAAGCCTGACTGCCAACAGGAACCCCCTCCCAGAACCCCACACCCAAGCGGGGGAGACCCGCTCTGGCCACAGGCAGGTGCAACCACCCCGTGCCAGAGATAGGAGGGAAGCAGGCCTCAGCTGTGCCCATGCTGAGGGCCCCTGAGCCTTGCTGCCACTGCCCTGATTGGGAAGCCAGAGGAGGCCCTCCCCCATGGGCTGCTGCCTTTCTGACCCCTGCTGTGAGGAACGGGATTCCTTTTTTGTATAAATGGAAACAAAATCACGAAGAAGCTGCCACCCCTCACCTCTGAGTGTGACCCTTTGCTTCAGTTTCTTTGTCATGGTTTTGTCTTTGGTCCTGGGGACTGCCCAGCAGATTCTCCTGGTTCTGACCCAGGGGGTGTTTGCGTCGCCCCCTTTTACTTGTATAAAAAAGATTCTGGGTTAAAGATGTACTGAGGAAAAAAATGTACTTTTTTATAAATAAACTGTTTAAAACAAACCTGTGTGTCATGCCTGTCATTCCCCAGCTGTGGCCCTTCTCTACAACAATGGGGGCTGGGATGGAAGCTGGCCATGGTGGACAGAGCCCTCACAGCAGGACAGTGAGGGGAAGGGGCCCTGCACCCCTGTGCCGGGTCCCATGGCTCTGTGACAGTGACGAAGAACCCCATGCCACCATCTTGCAGGAGCTGCGAGGGAGAATGGGAAAGCCCTACCTGAGACCACTCACAGCTCAGAGACTGCCCCGAGCCCCTTCCACACCAGTAGGGAGACATGGATGGAGATATCTTTGCTGGTGTCTGCAGACAGTCACGGAGCACCTCGGTGGAGAAGAGGACAGGGAAGAGAAGGCTGTGGAACAAGGGTCAGGAGAGGGCACTATGCCTGGCTGGGAAGGTGTCCCTGCTTTCCTGGGACTCAGAGCTGAGCTCCCTCTCAATCTCTTCCCCAACTCCCCTTGTCGCCCCATGCCCTGCTGTCCACCAACCCACCCCCCAAGTCCCCTCCTGTGGCTGTTTGGAGAAGAGAACCAGCAGTGTTACACCTGTCGTGTTAGACAGATCCCTGAGGACAGAAGAGGTGAGAGCTTTATCCTTTCGTCTATTTCTAGGGTGCTTCGGCCCCTGCCAAGCTCTCCTAGGAGATCCTCCCCGCCATTTCTCTCCGGGGGACTAGTTGAAGGGAGGGTCTCACTGTCCCTCTGCTATGCTCCCCCTCCCCATACCAGCACCATCTGCTTCTCATCTCCTGGGCTGGAATGCAGGACAAATTGATCCTAGGGGTAGGAGTGGCAGGGGCTTCAGTGACCGCCCCCTCCCAGCCACCCCTGCTAGCATCTCCTTTCACTGAAATCCATACCACAGACCCCTGGGGAAGGGGATAGGGAAACTGGAAGCCAAGGTGGCTGCTTAGCAGAAAGCCCTGCCCATCTGGGGCAAGGCGACATCCTCCACGCCTAGGATTGGGGCAGGAGGGAGGGGCGGGGCTGACTGAATCAGGCAGGGAGAAGGCCACAGCTGGTAGCAGCTGCCTGGGCCTGCCACAGACAGGCCAAACCAACCCGACCCCGGCTGTGTTTAGATGTTGGTATTCGAATGAGATGCAAATTGATCATTTAAGTGGTTACTTCCTCAGTTTTCCAAGCTGTCCGTTTAAGTTAATTTTTAATTTGCGCAGGCAATAAATGCTTAATTACATTATTAATATATTGG